CAATTAGAAATAGGTACAAATTCAATGTTATTAACACATACTCTTGTTATAATTTTCAAAATATTTTAATTCATATTGAGTGTGGTTCCTTTAAAATGCATATTTTGTCTGTTTATAGTCCACCTCCACCTAATGGGAAAATGCAAATCAAGCACTTATCAGATGTTTATCATAACATTAATTCTCAAAACTTTCTAATAATAGGTGACTTCAATGGTCACCACTCATCCTGGGGCTGTAGGAACAACGACCGGAGAGGTAATTTTATCCACTCATTTGCTGAAACGTGCAATTTAGTATGTTTGAATGATCACGAGATAACAACTCTTCCTCCTCATGGGCAGACAGGTAATATTTTAGATTTGGTTTTTGCATCTCCCTCGTTAAGCTCCAGCTGTAAATTCTCCGTTTCCGATGACCCCTTCAGTAGTGATCATTATCCAGTACCAGTAGAAGTAATTTTAGGGGACGGTTCTCGTCCACTTCATAAGCGAACATTGGATACTTCTTATCCAAGTCGTCCTTATTCTCTGGCGGATATTAATTATAAGAAAGTCGACTGGTCTGAATTCTCTAAGAAATGTGAAGCAATGTTTTTGGAATTTAAAATGACCGAAGACCCTGTTTTAGATTATTCTAATTTCGTTAGTAATTTAAGTGAAGTTTTGTTTACATTTCCGATGAAATACTCCCGGTGTGACAAGTTTTCAAACCGTAAGCTACCATTTGGTGGAATGATTCTTGTAGTGAAGCTGTTATAAAGGCTAAAATCGCTCTCCTTTCATATAAAAAATATCCTAGTTTGGAAAACTATATAATTTATAAGCAGTTTGATGCTAAAAAGAAAAGAATTATAGCTGAACAGAAACAATTATCATGGTACAAACTTTGTACTTCCTTTAATCGTATGACTTCTTCTAAAATAATTTGGGATCATATTCGTAGATTTAAATTTTCTAAAATTGGACATTCAAATAATTTACAGTTTTTTGATAACATCGCGAATGTTAACGATTTTTTAGAGAAAATAGTCTCGTCGAGTGATGTCAGCGATGATGATAATTCAGAGTTAGATTCTTTATTTTCTGGTCAGGGCTTACAATCGGCACACTGGCTTAAAAATCCTTTTCTTTTTAATGAATTAGACGCATCCTTGATCAATAAGCGTAATACATCTCCTGGACCAGATTTTATTCCTTATTTAGTGATCCAAAAATTACCGAGTAAAGTTAAGCTAGTTTTACTATCCATTTACAATTCACTCTGGGTCTCTGGTCTTATCCCTCCTTCGTGGAAGGATCAGCATACTATACCAATACTAAAACCTTATAAAGACTCTGATAGTACTGACTCATATAGACCAATCTCATTGACATCTTGTTTTTCTAAAATCTTTGAAACAATGCTTAAAAATAGACTAGAGTGGTTTGTGGAACATAACTGTCTCATTCCTGAAAACCAGTATGGTTTTCGAAAAGGAAGAAGTACCATAGACAGTTTAGGCTGCTTGATTGGCGACATTGCAAATGGTTTTAAAAACAATAAGGTGACTTTCGCAGTATTTTTAGATATTAAGGGTGCGTTTGACAACATTGACCACCTATTTTTAATTAAAAGTCTTAGTTCATTAGGTTTTCCAGGCTCTACTCTCCGATGGATTTTTAATTTTCTACACAGTCGCAGTATACATCTCAAAGTTAATAATAAGCTGTATGGTCCAAAATCCACATGTAAAGGAACACCACAGGGATCTGTAAACTCTCCTTTAATTTTTGTTTTATCTTTAGTAATGCTAATGAAAAAAATTCCAAAATGCGTTAAGTACTTACTATATGCTGATGATTTAATAATCTACTATAGTTGTTCTGATCCTAAAGAAGGAGAACTAATAATGAATGATTGTCTAGTTTTCTTGCATAATATTTTGACTACATACCTTAAATTAGAAGTTAGCGTAGAGAAAAGCTCATTAGTTTTATTCACAAAAAAAATGGTCCCACAGTATAACCCTGTAATTTTATATAATAATATAAAAATCCCCATGCAATCTTCCGTAAAATACTTAGGTATTTATCTGGATTCAAATCTTTCTTGGAAAACACACATAGATTATATATGTAAGAAAGTTGAATTGGGACTTAACATAATGAGGTCTTTGTGTGGAGTGTCTTGGGGCGCCGACCCTAAAATCCTTAAGACCCTATATATTGCAACAGTTCGAAGTCATTTTGACTATGGCTCTATGTTTTTTGCAAATGCTTCCGATAAGTTATTGAAAAAATTAGACATTTTACAAAATAGAGCGTTACGTATTATAACAGGTGCTTTGATGTCCTCTCCCATTAACTCTTTAGAAGTAGAAGCAGGAATTGTTCCACTCTCAGTTCGAAGAAGCTACATAACTGATAAATATTGTCTTAAACTGGTTACACGAGATAACGCTATTACTTCTAGGTACTTAGAAAATTATTTAATTCCTAATTTTAATCTGATTTCTTTACCAATTGTTAATTCATTACCTCTTTCTATATCATACTTAAACTTTGAGTTTCAGGATGTTGTTTATTGGTCCAATTTAGTGCCTTGTTTTAATTACGATTTTTACACTGTTATATTGGACATGAAAATACATTTATCTCATTTTAATAACAAATTCGAATTTTTGGAATTTCTTAACTCAAAACTTGAATATGTCAAAATTTATACTGACGGCTCTAAAACCAGTGAAAGAACTAGTTTTGCTTTTTACGATGCATGTAAGAAAATAGGAAAAGTATTTGGATGTAATAATTATTTCTCTGTTTTTTCTTCTGAAGCTTTAGCTATATTATTTGCCTTAAAATACATATTGAACAATTGTCGCCATATTTACAAAAATGTATTGTTGTTATCTGATTCTATGAGTGTCCTACAAGCTATTTCAAAGAAATGTTTCAATGCATCTGACAACTACTTAATTCATGAAATAAAAAATTGTGTTAGCAGTCTGAATAACTTTGATGTAAATATAGAATTCGCTTGGGTTCCAGGTCATTCTGGCATATTTGGTAATGAATTAGTTGACACCCTTGCCAAGTCCACTATAAATCTAGCTATTTGTGATTACAAAGTTCCTGTATCTGACTTACTTTTGTTTGTCAAAGAAAATATGGTAAAACGTTGGATTGCTTTGCTCTCTTCCACTAGATTGATCAAAGGAAAATGGTTAGAGCAAATTGTTCCCATTCCATGTACTAACGCATGGTTTGAGAAACATACAAAATTTTTGGGTAGAAGTTTCATCACCACTTTGAGTCGGTTAAGAATTGGTCACAGCCGAATTCCGTCCCACTTACATCGTCTAAAGCTCAGGGAGGATGCTAGTTGTCCTCACTGTGGTTCACTTTTTTGTGATATTGACCATATTTTATTTATATGCCCAAAATTTTCAATACAGCGTTTATTACTGATAACAGAATTTACTGAAATTTTTGAAAATGATATTCCGAACTCTGCCCAAAAATTGCTTACCAATATTAAGACGTATTATCATATTTATAATTTTATTGTAAATACTTTTGGTCAAATTTAAGTTGTTTTTTTTTTGTTGTTGTTAATTTGTGGAGTATATATATTTTTCTTTTGTTATTTCTCATTGTATTCTTCTGGATGTTATGTTTTTGTTTTATCTGTAAATTTATAACAAAATTTGTAATATTACCTATGTAAGTCTCTAGAATACCATTGTAGTAATTCTTTTTTGCTGATGGCCCAGGAGCCAAAGCTGAATAAATTAAAAAAAAAAAACGTGCAGCTGTCATAGTACTGTTGACAGTTGTCATGCATGACACTGATGTTCAATCAACGCAATACAAAAAATAATGTGTAATAAATCGGGTATACAACACAAAAGCGAAGGGGTGAAGTTAACAAATTGTTTGAGAACTAGAAAAAGTCAGGTGTTAACGAAATAAACGTACTCACAGAGACATTGCATACTACCGCTGGCGCTAATGTGTATACGTTGGTGAAGTGCACCCATATCATATTTACTTCTTGACAACACGTCGTTTGGACCTATCTTGCACTTTGGAAACGGCTAAGACCTCGGCTGGATTATCAGTTTTATCCTCGACTGATTCTTCAGTTTTGCTCTCTGATACCGAAGACACAGGAATCGAGACCGGAATGTTGTCCATATCGTTAAGACAATACACCCGTTGTCGTTTGTTGTTAGGATCTAATACGTAGATGATTCCATCCTGCGTCCAGCACCTGTTGACACCATATCTCTTCCTCACCGTCATAAATAGTGTGTGGCGTTCGCTTGTGAGAAACTCGGATAAAGTTACACCACTACTTTTTAGCAGTTTTTTGGCAAACCAGACCTTGTTTCTTACTGTTGCATCAAAGAATTTGACCAAAATAGGCCTGTTTTTGCCATCCACAGGTCTGCCAATACGGTGTATACGACTAAAATCCTGTCTAGACAGAGAAGTTAGGTTGAGTTGATGATGCGCTAAGTGAATAAACAAATCTGCCACGACTTCATCCTTATGCTCAGCCACACCATACACAAGAAGCATGCGCCGCCGACTCCGCATTTCGCGCCGATCAGCTTCCTTTGTGAGAAGCTCGACTTGCTTGTGCAGCATATCCAGTGCGGAGACTACAAAAGTGCGGAAACTTGCAAAGTCCTCTGCTAGAGTTGAAGTATTTCTTGAGGCAGATGGGACAGTCCGGTGAAGCTCTGATTGAAATTCAGCCATCCTAGTGTTAAAAAGTGCAGACATTTCTTCAATAGATTTCTTGACTAAATCCATGATGATAAATGTGGTTGTTGAATAATGTTATGTGCAGTGTTCAAAGGAAGGAAATTACTGCTGGTAGGTTTATGTGATTCACTCAAGCATAAACAATTGTAACTATGTACAAAAAACAGAATTATATAATTTAAAGTTAATTAAAAACTGGGAGCTTTAAAAAGTATGTTTATCTCACACAACTACCCACACCGAAAAAAAAAAAAAAAAAAAAAATGTATGTAAGGTATGTAAGGTATTTATATATTCTTCAGATAGAACTTGCTCTTTAGAAATATTGGTATCCGTACCGATATGCTTGAACCCAATTTTTAAACCATCACAAACTCTTAGTCGCAGTATTTTCATCGCAGTATAAAGAAGTTTATTCGGTGACACTCCCCGTCTATCAAAACGGCGCAATTCACTGGTTGCCATCATAAATGGTGTCACTGTAATTTCGTCCCGGTATACACGAAATTGTCTTAAGTAAATAGCTGGAAACGACAATTACTCTGCATGTTTATCGAACACTAAACTCATTGGAATATTGTTTTCACCTGGAGCGATGTGAAAGAATTTATCTTCATTCAACATAAGCGTTTGCTGTTGGGCTACAAGACTCCCATCAATTCCAATGTGTTCACTTAAGTCATCAATATGTGTTTGGGTTTGTACAGAGTCTGGATCAACAGGTATTATGTCATTTGCAAATTCAATATTATCAATTATCACATTATCATCAGTTGTAAACCAGGAATCATCTATTTTGATATCATAATTAATATATAAAGGTGTCTGGACCAAATATGTTAACCATTGTTTGATGACAGATCTTTTAACTAGTTCATGAAGATAACTTGTTCGGTGAATAAGCTTTCTTTTGATGTGTACATTGATACAAAAATCTTCTTCCTGGCCATCGAGTGGTCGGGGTAAAAGGTTTATCATATTGTTGACTGACACAGGTACATTGATTATTTGTCCGGTTATTGCGAACTGACCGTTGAAATGCCGCAATCTACGTATCTGCATAAAAGGGAGCCGCGGTGATATGAATCCTTCAGCAATGATGTCTAATTCTGGTAAGTCCGCTGGTCTCTCTGGATATTTAAAACCATTGAAGGTTGCTAACGAAGGAATCTTGCCCTTTTTAATACTGACATTGCAAGTCTTACACATCTTGACATCAGCCACGTCGGTAAATGTCTAAAGTTTAGACTCTAAACACAAAAATATCATATGATAAAAATTGATAAGGTATTAAATAAATTATAAATAAAGAATTTAAAAAAATAAAATTTTGACCTACCGTAATTTGTTTTAGTAGATTTTCATCATCAGGTTGACCAGTTTTCAGATCATTTAAAAACCATAGACGATCACAAATATTGCAGACGTGACCAAAAGAATTTAATTTTTCACAAACAGCTTGTGAAATAGTTTATGCGCTGATTGATGCGCACGATAGCTATTATATGAATGGCTTGAATTCTCTTCTGGTAGCACAATATCCTCTAAATTCAAATCATCTTCATTATCAATTTGTTCATCTTCAATGACTGACTCAGCGTACACGCTATAATCAGCATCATGAAGATTTTGCGGTTGCATTGACGCATCAACATCTTTATTTTCTATTGGCTGATTTAATACTTGTTGTATTTCGTCATTTGGCAGATCTGAAGACAGTGTAGGTTGGCTTGGAAGTTGGAGGATTTCATCAAAATTAACTTCTGATGAACGTTGCTTCGAATAAAAATTTTAACCAACTTTAAGAAAATTGACAAAAAAAAAGTTTTTATAAACATTTTTTTTAAATTATTATAATTATTTTTTTATTTAAAATATAATATTATCTTAATAATTAACAAAAATGGTTACAAAAAGATAATTATGTACTAAATCTTTTACGTACAATAATAAATAGTACATGAAAATTATTTAAATAAGCTAAAAAATAACTATTCGATAGAAAATTTTATAAAAACATTATTATAATGAAAAAATATTGTCGATTTTTCTGATAATATAATCGAATTATTGACTAGAATTGTTAATATTTAAAAATTATTTATAAAATAAATCATAATAACCTGGAAGAATTTATAGACATCGAAAAAAAAATTTTTTGGTTAGGTTAGAAATTTTCTATTTTATGTGGATGCGCTCGATAATTCATATTGGGTTAGTTATCTAATTTTATGTGTTGTTCTCAAATATATATTTATATGAACTACTTCATTTAATAAATACAAATTGCACATGCTCATACATATAATACATGAATTATAACGTACCTTGCAGCCACGTGTTTGTTAGATGTTACGGCAATATCATCTAAACTTCTTTCTGGCATATTTATTTGAAAATACTTTCAGTTCACTTTAGCGGAACACAATGATAAAAATTAAAACTTCACAATAACAATATTAATTATTGATATTTATAATAAAAACAGCAATATAAGTATGTCGACACTGATACAAATAATAATTATATTAAAGAGGGTTTAAGTTTTCATATTTTCCCTACTAATGACAAGTTGAGAAAACATTGGGAAAGTGTTCTTTCGCGCGCAAACAGTGCGCTAACGACCGCGAGCATCTTAAGATGCTCCGTGCTAGCATCATATGATGCTCTGGGCCGCCTCACGACTCTCTTCCTTATAACTTCTTTTGTAAGACGTATTTTCGTATACGGTTTTCGGTATAACACAGATAAGTTAAAGAGCTACTGACGAATATCCAATCACAGGACACACAGTGAACAAAGAGACCACAATCACAAGTGTGAACGCACGGTAAAATATTTCGCGCCATTTTGCTGTCAGTCGTGTTGTGCGCAGTTGTGTGTGTGCCGTGTTGTGAAAGTTTTTGTGTGGTTTTCAACGGATTTTTATCAAAAAAACGTAAGTTAAGTGTTTTATTTCTCTTATTTATAGTGTTTTTATTAGTTACAAACGTTTAGAACAGTGTTCCGTGTCGTATTATTTACATAAAACATTTCACAATACGTTCGGTCGGTTACGTTGCATTACCGCGCTGTCAGAGGTTTTTCTATGAGTGATTATTACATGATATATTCATGAAAACCTATAAAAACCATACATTTTCTGAAAGATAATTTTATTAGGAATGTATTAGAAATATGGTTTTTAAATTTTCGTCAAGTTTTATCAATAAATCGAGCTCCGAAACTTCGTTCGTACCGTATTACTTACAAAACTATAAAAACGATGGAATAGCTCAATAACAGTAATGATAATTTATCAGAGAATGTACAATTGTATATAATTTTGGATAATTGTTTAGCTTTATATCGTTATTCGACTAAAATCTAATTGCACGGATAAGTACTTTACAGTGCATCCTAATATGCGCTCTAATCGCATTGCAATAAAGTTTATTGCGATTCGCGAGTGCCGTTCGGAGTTCAATAGGTCATTAGAGTTCGAATGACACGTCGACTCAACTAACTGCGCACTTGATATACAGAACGTATTGTTACGTTTTTTTTTGTATGAGAAGCTTATTTGATTTTTATACCAATAGAAAGCTAATTTTATAGCCTATGCAATGGTGTTTTACATAATGAAATACCTCGTTGTCCCTATTGCTCTACCAGAAACAATATCTAAATTCAGTACAGATTTTAAAAAAAATTTTAATGTCAATCCGCCGTCTTTGTTTGTCAAAGTTGCGCGACATAGGATGCGCACCAAAAACGTAACGAGGTCATTCATCGATAGATTTTACTCCTCACGTTTTTCTAATACCGGGCCCCTTATATATGCAAATCGATTCTTAAGGAGTAAACTCCAAAAACATTTCTCATTATGAAACATTCTGCTGAAAAGCTTTCCCTGTCGCCAGCCCTATACCACTACGTCGCAATGCATTCGGCACTCGCTGCGCCTCGGCGTCGCTCGAGCTCGATCGGTACGCGCTCGTCTTTCCACGGAAAGCTCTTTCAAATTCGGAACACAGTCATGACATATCTCTTTTGCATTAAAACACACTTTTCGACTGTATCCCCTCACCATAAAGTCAAATATCGAACGAAGAAACAATAACGTGACGAGGTCATTTGATCAGTAGATTTTACTCCTCACATTTTTCTCATACCGGGCCCCTTATATATGCAAATCGATTCTTAAGGAGTAAACTCCAAAAAAAAACATCAAAAACCGAAGTTTTTATTTTAAAAGCTTTAGAGAGTCCCAAATTCAATGCTAAAACTAATTATATAATTTATCAAATCAGGGAAAAACATTATCAATTAACACAGTCAAATTTTGTCAGGGATACTATCTTTTTCTGGACCCCCTCCCATATTGGTGTTGTTGGAAACGAAAAAGCTGATTTTGTAGCCACTTCTATTACAAATGATATTCATAGTAATATTATCAGTTCTGAATTTAAGGCTATTCTTATACCTGAAACGGATCTTTTACACTACTTAAAGAATAAATTAATGGATACCTTCAAAAGGCTTTGGTCCAGAATTACTGAGACGAAAGGCAAATGGTATGTTGAAATCAATAAAAAAATTGGTATTCCGTGGTTCTGCAAGGGAAAGGATTATCATGGTCGAAAGTTTTATACAACCATCTGTCGCTTACGTTTAGGACACTGTCGTTTTAATGCCCATCTTCACAGGTTGAACTTAATCTCGTCTTCTGATTGTAATTATTGTCGTCTATCAATTAGCCAAACTCTTCATCATCTGTTTTTTGATTGTAGTGCCTTTTCGTTACAAAGAATGATTTTTATAGATCAACTTTTAGATATTTATAAAATATCTGCAAATATCCCGCGCTCTCTACCTCAGCTCTTATCAAACAAAGGTTGTTATAAACCTATTTACCAGTTTATCAATACGACCGTTATTGATATTTAATTTTGATTGTTTCATTACAATCACATCTTCATAACTCTAACTTGACTAAAGACCTTGATTTACGAATTCACAATTATGACTTGAGAATAATCCACAAATTGGATAATTTTATAAAAGACTCCTGATTATGACTTGAAAATATTACTGTAATGAAAAATATTCTTGACATTTCTACTAATGACTTATACACAAACGACCTGGCTTCGGCCTTACTGGAAAAAACACAAAAGAAGACAATAATAAAACGAAAAACGATAAGAAAGAAGAAGAAGTACTTTGAAGACAAGATATCAAAAAGAAGATTTGGCTCCGGCCTCAAGAAAGAAGAAATACAGCTGATCAGCACATATTATTTACAACATATTTCATTATGAAATAATAAACTAAAGAATTGGCTGTATGGGCACAGTACCCTTTGCCTACCCAGAATGGGTAAAGAAACTAAAAAAAATGAAATTTTTACAAGAAAAGGAAAAATCCCGACAGAATCGAACAGATGCAGACAATGAACATATCTTATTTTTTAAAAGCTTGTTACCGCACATTGACAAAATACCTCAGCATATGTTACTTTCTTTTAGAAACCGCATTCAAAGTGTCGTTGACGAGTTCGCGTACCCATCTTTGCAATCTGATAATCGATCTACCTCGATGACAAACTACTCTCATTTAAGTGAAGTTTCTCGTCTGAGTACTCCAGAAACCTGCGACCAATTGAATCTTGCACAATATAATCAATCTAGAAGCAACCAGGTAGCTACAGAAGAATGTAATGAATCTACTCAGTCTGAGCAGAATGAGAAATCTCTTGCAGAATTTTATAGTAGATACCAACTGTGTTTCCAATTTGATTATTATTTTCAGACCAAAATGAGATAATGCAAAAGCAACCTTAGCGTCATAGAAATAAAGACGAAACGTGAAATGTGTTGCCAACATGACGCCAAAGGACATATTTGATGAAATGGACTATATGTCAACCGTATGTACATCCGTTGTGGCATCATAGCTCCCAAACGGATGAACCGATAACAATGCAGTTTTTTTTTATTTTTAAAGATGATTTAATCGAGATGTTTATAAGCTATGTTTCATTAAAATCGGTTAAGTAGTTTGTGAGCTGTTATACTTTTAAACTAAAAATCGGAGTATGCTAAAAATCAATAGTTTAACTAAAATTATCGGTCTTTATAAAACGAGGATTAAAATTAGTACGGTACTAACTAAATTTATAAAAACTGATTTACGACTTTTTGAGTTTAACACCTACTGTCAGGGGGTTCCCAAGAATTATAGGACTAACTTTAGTAATTTTATTTGAATATTTGTGCGATATCACAATTCCTGTGAAGCTAAACGGGCACTAGCTAGCGAGTATCACAGTTCTGTCCTAGCTAGAGAAATCTGGGAATCCTAATCTTTCAATTCTTAGTAATATAGATAATTAAGGAATTTTTCATAAAACAATTATTTTACCTGAGTTCCGGAAGTGCAGCATATATTACAGCAGTTGCAAACAAAAACTTTTTTATTAGGATCCCAACAAACACTTTTCTTCTTTAACACAACTTGTCCCGATTCGCAACAATAATTCGGGGTAACAGCCACAGTTACCTCGACGAATAGAGATAATACGAATAATTTCCACATTTTTCACTTAAACATTATCATCCTTTTGAAAATACTTTTCGATAACTATTACTATTTATTATGTTTATTTTATATTTTCGAAAACGTTTTGAATTTACCACACGTCTTGCTTACTATAACAATTTGATATAACTGGTCTTCAGACCGTCGGCGTTTACAAGTTGAACACCAGGTCAGCATGTTTGTTTGCGGCTTCAGCTACAATAACCTCAGATATAATATGGCACAAAAGACTTGGCCAT